TAAAGAATCTTGAATCTCAAGGATGATGTCGAGCAACAGTGATATTGCCATTCAGGAGGCATTCCGACAGAACATATGTCATTGACAGCAATTAATCTGGTGAGCTGAAGCAGAAGACATTGATGCGAGCCTCTCAACCGCTTCATCAGGCATACAATGCACATATTCTGATTCATTAGAAATCTTACAATTTACCACCCCCCCATTTCAAGCCATTTCCCTCCCAGAAGATACACAAAATGCGACGGGGATGGAAGACAGAACATTCATAGCCGAGGCCGCAGGCGTTAGAAAGAATACCAATATCCGCGAATCTGAAGCATTACACGCTATCAATATCGAGCAGAAGCTTCTTATATTCTTGTATATTACAACTCCTAGTGTGAGCTATCAGAACGCTGCAGAGATGTTTCATCATTCATTAGACACAATATCCAAGTGAGTATAGTAGTAATAATAAATAAATAGACTCACTAAGAATGTTATAATAATGATTTTTATAGGGTGTTTCATGAGGTTTTGGAATCGCTCTGCGTACTCTACGAGTATTATGTCAAATTGCCCGAATCCCCGATGGAATATAGCAAGAAAGCTCTCGGTTCAAATCCACATTATTGGCCGTTTTTCAAAGGGTGTATTGGAGCTCTGGATGGCACTCATTTACCTATCTCTATTCCTTTGAATCAGCAATCTGTATGGTGAAATCGAAAAGATTGGATATCTCAAAATGTTCTGGCTGCCTGCGATCATGATATGAAACTTTCTATATATCTACCCCGGAATGGAAGGATCTTCTCATGATAGCCGGGTTATTGCGCAGGCACAGAAAAAAGATCAATTTGAAATGACATTATCTGATGAGTCCTGCTGCTTTTTAGCAGATGCTGGCTACTCACAAAGATCTAGCTTGATGTTGGTTCCATATTAGGAGTTCAATATCATCTAAAGGAATGGGAAAAAGCGAATTCTCAACCTGTCAATGCCTCAGAGTTGTATAATCTTCGTCATGCCAGTTTGCGAGGTGTAGTCAAGTGAGTATTTGGAGTGTTTAAACGACGGTTTCGAATATATAATCAAGCTTGAGATGGATTCTCCATAACCACTCAGATTGACCTGGTTTTCACATTGGCAGCAGTTCATAACTTTATGAATCAGTATAAGGAAATGGATGAGGTTGCTGAAGATGATGAGGATTCTATTAGTGAGGAGGAAACAAGAGAAACTGCAGGGATTCAACAAGAGGGTAGTGATGAAATGATGAAAAAGCGAGATAATATCGCTGCGCAGATGTGGAGGCAGTATAACCAAGATAAAGACCTGAGATATTTGGATCTTGAAAAAGCAAAGGAATCATGCTATAACGTGAATACGGAATTCGGCCGTCAACCTTTCAATTCTCTGGAAGCAACTTCTGAACCTCATTTAAAAATAACCCCGTTGCTCGTTCAATATCACCTGGCTGTTCAACACTTACTTTGGCAGTTGCAGAATCCCTTATAATTTCCCTCAGAGCATCAATACTGTCAACAAATTTTCTTTTAAGTGGTCGATTTCGAGTGCCTGAGGTTTCAGTTGACAATCTTATTATTGATGATTGAGATGAGTTTATAGAGGTTTGATGAACTGCTTCTGACAATTCTACAACAGATGTGGGTGTCAATTCCTTCTCAGTTTCAACATCACTGTCATTCTCATTCATTATTTCTTCTCTTCTTCTTTGCTGATGAGTTTGATATTCTATAGCATAATCACCTGTTGCCAAACGACTGTCAAGCAGTTCACCAGTGATTTCTGAATATGAAGATCCTTGATGTTGAAATTGTCACATATCTGGATGTCGATTGAAATACACACTTGTAACCTCGATATCGTTGATATATGTCATTTTCTCTTGACAGAATGACCATCCAGATATCTGCTGTTGATGCTTACACCACAGCTTCCATATGGTCTTAATCTTCCGCCATCGATTATCACATATATCTTTGGTAATAGATTGACTTGTATGCTGGCTAACAGCCTCAACAATTGCAGGCCAAACGACACTTTTGTAATTGCTGTTGTCTGTTTCCAAACCCCATTTTTTGGTGTCAATGAACGTATTGAGCATGGCAAGCTCCATGGCAGGGGTCCAATCGGTTCGAATTCGGGCGGCACGCCGGGCTCGCTGGGAGGCTCGCTGGGTGTATGGCCGGGAGGGTTGGCTGTACAGCCTGGAGGCCGGCGGGGTGTATGACGCGGAATCTCGCTGGGTGGATTGGGTGGCTCGCGTTGGGGATTCAGGCCACTGGCTCTCGCGTTCATCAAGGTATTGTAATGCCGGATCAATCTGAGACTCATTAAGATCCATTTTTCACTGATATTTGGTGTGAGGAGGTAGTAATATAGTGGAAATTTCAACTGCTACACGTCCGCTGGAATGGCATGATAATCATCATCATAAAAACCATGGGTAAGTAATAAAAGTAATGTCAAAACGCCAAGCAGATTACTATTCATATAGGGAAAGGTGGCAATATTGAAGGTTTACGCCGTCAAAAGGCAAATATCCACTTTCTGTACGGCCCTGGCACTGTACGGAAAAAATCACCGAACAGGCCCTAAGTATATCCCAATATTTTTTTAATAATAAAAATCTCTCTCTCATTCTCTTATAATGTAGATTCGGCGGCTCCATCATGACACATACTTGTGAAAGCAGCCCAATAAAACTTCGACTAGGTATACTTTCCAAAAGGAGCTTAGTGATGATTTCAAATTAACCCTAATTTACAACATTCTATTCTTGCTTCTCCTCAAGTTTCTCTTGCTTTCCCTTCTTCCCTGCTCTAGACTTCTGATATTTCATGTAGTTCTCGCATGTTGTTCGAGATGGAGGTGGATAATGCTTCTCCTGTTTCTGTAAGAGCTACGTCTTTCCAGGGCTGTACGCATGGCACTTACTATATCTCTGTCTGGTGGTGGAAAGTGGCTGTTCGAAGCATCAGACTTGTTAAAATTAATTGTAAAGTACCGGTTGTCTTCATGGATGACAAGGTAGACACCTTTGCAGCGACAGTCATTGAAATAGCTACGCAGCATACGCTGCAGCGTGCCTTTCTGTCGATAACGCATCTGCACAAGACTACTGCGCTCAGTCCATGGCTTCTTGACACGTTTCGAGCTTGGTGGTTGCATCTTGTGGCGTTTGATTCCGATGAAGATAAAGGATCTGGGACTTGCTGGTTATCACTTGACACTATGGGAAGAGCTCTCAATTTATAGCTACAGGCGAGTGCGTGGTTCATTGAGCCAAAAGGCGCATTTTAAAAGTGTACTTCTGTCGAACGTCATTTGGAGCGATCAGTCGTTTTGCTTCGGGCGCTTGCACGCGCAGGCCACGATTTGCAATCCGAAACCGTGGTCCTCCCCATTTTGGCTCGCTTCATCTCGGCCACGCGATCCGAATTCGTGGCTGGAAGAGCTCGCCAACACCCGAACGCTGAGTGGAGCGTACTGGATTATCGGTGCCAAATATGCAACACTAAAAGATCCAAATGGCATCTCCACCCATTCTTTATACTCGTCATCAATAGAGCAACCTCGAGTCGGGCTTCTCAAAATCAACTGTCTTAGCAGGGTTCGAAAGGGTTGATATACTCTAAAACATGGCCTCCGTTCTCAAAATAGGCCTTTCATTTCCAAAAATCTAGAAATCTAGTAGGTCCATCAGCTGGTGGTTCTGCCATGATTTCTGGATGGTGGCCGCATTCTTAGTGGTAACGCGTAACGCTGCAAGTTGTGGATGGGTCCCATCTGCAAACTAATAGGCCACGAATATTGCCCGAATACCGTGGCCCCTTTCATCCAAAAGTGTACGTCTCCTGCTCGTCCGCAGTCGGAGTCGAATTGAGAATAACGGAATGTGGATAGGGCAAATCATTTTACAATGGGGCCCCGACCTGTTTTTATGAATAGGCCACGAATCTTGTCCAAATACCGTTGCCCCTTCCGTCAAAAGTGTACGGAGTACTTCTGCACTTGTGCTCTGCGTCCCACCAATTCAGTTTCACGTGATGTAGATCTTTAGATCTCCCTCCGTCTCGTTACTGGAACCAACCCTTACTCTCAGATTACTCTCAGAAAATTTCAAATTTCACCCGCAATCTATTTCGCTTGCAATCCATCGCCATTCCGCTGGCTTGCTCGCCATCCATTTCGCCCGCAATCCTTTTGATTCTCCTACATAGCTCTCTGGCTTCAAAGAAGCCGCGAATGTTGCCACGTGTGATTTCTTTCAATAAAATTGCAAATGACTGGGCTTCCTTGAACTGATGATTCTCAGCAACTCTTGAGATATCAGCTGGTAGCGCACTGCAGCGCTTTCTGTTGTTGTTCCCCACTCAATATCTCTGTGTTTTTGTACTGAGGAGTAAAAGCACAGAAGTATTCTGAGTACAGCATTGAAATGAGATGATTACTCTGTCAGTAAGAATAGAGGGTGGTGAAAGTTAGAACTGAAGGGCAGGGTCATCATTCAAAATTTTATAGAATTGTCGAGAGGAAAACATATTCATTTTGGGCCGTGGGTCCTTGGTCGCCACAGGGCCACAGAAATCGGTTCAATGGCCTCTGCCGTCCACAAGCCAGCATGGCCACAAGTTGGTCGCCTCTGGGCCTACCAGGTCCGTGGACCGCGATCCATGGACCCGTCAGGCCTATTGGCTCCTGCCTCCAGCATGGCAACCTAGGTCACTGGACCTACTACACATGTCCTTAAGCACTGGCCATAGTATCCCTTCCCTTGGTCATTGTGCTAGTGACCACATGATGTAGTCCCTGGGATTTTGTCAAGCTTCTTCTGCCCCTGTGCCTCTGGCCTTATTGGACTTCGGCCCTCAGGTTTGTACCCTAACCGGCCCTCTGTCAACTGGATGAGCCGCATGGGCGGAGAAGAATAGAATGCTGACTACTCTTCCTGATGGCCCCATTGCCTAATAACGTAATTCCCAAGCGAGCGAACCACCAAAACCACCGTATCCCAACTAGTTAGGTTTCAATTCGAATTATCTCAACGCAACAACGCTTAAGTTACTTACCCATTCTGCTGCCAAAAATCATCTGTATTTGACGGAAGATGGAGCATGGCATGCTTGCACCCAATTCCCGTGGCACGCGCATCATAGCTCCTCACGTGACTACACCGACCTCAGCAAAGTGGGGCTGGCTCTATATACCTTCAGTCCCCCGTCTACGCTAATAGTCCCCTTTCCAGACAGACGAGGAGTGACCGTGAAAGACCGCACCATTTTACGGACTCGTAGGCTGCTAGAGACAGTTTCAGGGATCGGATGGATGAGGGCGAATTGAGCAGGCTCGGAGAAACAGCCCCTGCCCTCCACGTTTCCCATTGATGTATGGCTAGCGATGTTTACAAAATTTGACTAACTTCCATCAATTATTGAACTACAACAGAAAATCAAACAAAGGCCGGTCCTGCGCCAGACATCTTCATATACAATCACCACGAACATGGAAGCAGAGGAGATCCGTAGAAACCGGCCTCACGCGGTGGGACCAAAGAATAAATACCAACATATCCCGGAACCTCCGATTTGCCTTGGACATCTGACCAGAGACATACATCGAACGCTGCGGTATCGAACCCCAATTGTACGGCTATTATTGGTATGAAGCCACGGCGGCGATAATCACGCCATCCACGTCCAATCCCACGCCGAAGGATGACCCATCGTTGAGAGAGTAGCTGCGTGGCTGCGGTTCCCTTGGGATACGGCGTCGAGTTCCGCAAAGGGAGGGAGCTGAACGGAACGTGAGCGTTTTGATGCGGGTTGAGAGAATGAGAACGGAACTGTCCTAGATCGTCTCGCCATTTCTTGTTCTCCCAGTTGCCAGTGCATAGCTTCAACGGCCCTCCAGGGGATGGACATCTCCTCTGCAATTTTCGCCCACATTTCCGACTTGAATCTGCTTGCTCTGTCAGTAAGGAGCCGGTTGTCATCAGATATCACGCCGTTTCCACCTTTCATATAATAGGGCCAACTTGGTCTTGCGATCCTCGCTCCACTCACTCCGTCTCTCAAGGTAATTCTGGTAGTGCAGGCGACAGCTGAGTGCACTTCGCCCGGGGAGTTCCTTGCTGATATCTCCCCACGCCATTCCGCGCTGCCGAAGCTCGATGATCAGAACATCTTCTTCTGGGGACCATTTTGGCCTTTTTTTGTCCGAAATTTGGCGTGCTTGGGGGCTATCGCTCTGGACGTCAGGTGCCCTTGGTTTGGGTGCTATTGGTTTGTTTTGGGCTAAGTTTTGAATTGTAGGCGCCATAGTGAAAACTGCGGCATTTTATGAGGAGAAAAGGGAAGATCGAGCGAGGGAAACAAAGTGGGAGGAGGGCTGGCTTTATATGCCTTCAGCCCACTGGTCTACGCTAATTGTCCTCCTTCGAGAGCGGATGGGAAGTGACTATGAAGGACCGCGTCGTCCACACCATTCATCTGAGCTACGGACAGTTTATTGATCGAGCATGCTCGGAGAAACGGCGCCTACGAACAGAGGGAGGTTCCTCCGCACTTCCCGTTGATGTATGGCGCGATGTTTACAAAATTTGAGTAAGTTCCGTCAATTATTGAACTACGACAGAAAATCAAACAAGGCAGATCTTGTGACGGATAAAAGGCGAAGTCATGGAGATTCAACGTTAAAACAAGCAGTGTTGCCATCAGGAACAATTACTGACAAAGAAACATGAAAGAGAAACGTGAAGCAGAAAATATCTGTCCCAGTCCACCTCGCGAGAACGTCAACTCGGAGCTAACGTCTCGCCAGACAAACAGCAGAGGGCCTCCCAGATTGGCCATTAACATCAAACTTTCCATTATACAAGCATAAAACCGAGACGTAAGAATGCGTTGGGTCCGCCAGGCTTCCGCGATGGATCAAGCGTTGTGAGCCTGGGAACTCTCCGCAAGATCCTCGAAAGAGTCAGTGGGGTTGGCAATTGCTCGTGCCCTGGCGTAATTCTTCACCTTTCCCCTTTCTTTGCTGGTTTTGGCAACCCAATTCTCCACATCAGCCACTGCGTCGGTAGGCGACTGCTTGCGTTCAAGCAGGAACGATAGCAGGATCTCAGCTGGGCTGAATACCTGGTCCGGAACCTTGGCGGCAAACTCATCCGCAAGTCGCTCAATTGTTTCATCATCGAACTCCTTTCCTGTAGTGCGCTGATCCCCATCTGACCGCTTGAAAACCGTGCAGAAAAGACGAGAACTCATTTTGTGATCAGCGAGCTGAAACAAAACCTGTCTATCCACGCGGCCAGGGCGGATGAGTGCGTCATCCAAACGCTCGATGTGATTTGTCGTCATAATCAGCAATCGACCTTCCTGCGAAGACACGCCATCCAGGGCATTAAGAAGCGCGGACAGAGATACATTTCCATGAGACTTGCTCTTCTGTGAAGGGCCTACCGCGGCCTGGCCAGTGTTTTTCGTCGTTTCACTGTCTTCCGTTCGTGCAGTACTAGCAGCATCGATATCTTCTAAGAGAATGACACAATGCGGGGGAAGCTGGGCAAACAAACTGCTTAGGCGGCTGTCGTCGATGCTCGAAAGATTGAGTACATAGATATCTAGCTCAAAACGCCCGGCGACAGATAAGCTGAAACTGGACTTCCCGGTTCCAGGAGGCCCATACAGCAGGAACCCTCTTCGATAGGGAATCCCGCGCCTTGCATACCAGCCCCGAGCTCGCTCGTCCAGGAAATCCTCGATATCTTTCAACAGGGCCGTTTTCTCGCGCTCATCCATGATGACTGTCGAGATTGGTCTGATGTCTCTTGCCTTCGCTTTCCTCCATTCACCATCATGATGCTCAAAGACTGTAGTCTTTCGCTGGATAAGTTTAAGATACTCAGCTCGGCAATCACTAAGGAGTGCTCTCAGGATTTGCGAAGATCCGCCGATGCAGGAAATGGAGATCTCTTCCTTGGTCTCTTTTGCCACGCACTGGAACCGGAGCAGATGGTTCTTGTACACGAATAAGAATGATCCATTCCAAGGTGAAAAGCGCAAAGGTTTTTTCTTGTACTCATTTGAAAGATCATCAGCATATGCTCTTCTTTGCATGCCGCCGATACTTGCGAGAGAGGAGCGAGCCTTATGGGCGAAAGGCTGGGTGGATACCCAGGCGATGAGCATGTCGTACGCTTCGTTGTAGTAGGAGACGTGGACGGTCGAAGCTGTCGATGGTTAGAAAGAGTTATCATTAGAGGGAAGAGTCACGAACTGAAATAGGTCTCCATCAAGTCCGTCAATTAACGGACGGCATATCTACCCAAGAACAGGAGCATGCTGCAGAAGCACAGAAGGTGAGCATAGCTGTTCAGGTCACTAGCTACGAGTTGCTGAATGGACGCAGAGATGCCGGTGAAGCCGGGAAAAAAGACGTCCACAATGGAGATTTGGGATGTGGCAGTGTGGATTGGCAAAGAGCCAGCATTGTTGAATGGGTTCATTCTGGAACAGTGGTGCTAATAAATGGTGCGATTGATACACAATAAGTGTTTTTCAATTGGGATGAAGGTTTTGCAGGGAAATAATTATTCTCTTTTCTCACAATTGCCTCAGGACTTCGGGGGGAATCGCACCTCCTTATATGGCAGTCTATCAATACTTCCCGGCAGATATTCTTTGTGTCTTCCGCCTGTACCACGTGGATACCGGAGGTGGCCGTCGCTCTCCCAATTTAGGGATGCATTAAACTACGCTGTAAAATACATGGTCTTGATCGCTGAGGCTTGCCATTTTCTGCTCTGAGCAGCGGATGGTGCAGCCATCGAGACCCCTGGTTGGGGTTGACATTCGCCAATGTCCACGTATGACTTTGCGTTGCTGATTGCATCTCGTCAACGTACGGAACGGAGTTTTGCAAGGCCTCGATGCCGATCTTTTGCTCTGTTTGGGGCCCTGGTACAGCTCTGGATGAGTATGTACGTCGACAAAAAAAAGGACATACAGCCTTGATATTTTGACCTGCTGCACCGGCCTTGATCTAGATTTTCTAACTTGGGGCTGGCGGATATCAGAGTAAACCGATTGGCTGAAGTGGCGTGGGCTGCGCTTTGAAATATGCGGGGTTGTCACATGCTGTTGATGCTATTGGATACACAACAATTTCATTTGTGATAATTGGAGGGCTTGCGAACCTCAAAGGACTGAAAGCCTATTTTCTGGCCGCCACGGCGTGATAGCTGGCGTTTAATGAGCTAAAGTATGTGACTGAACGCCTTTAGCCACCGTAACTTTTTCCCATGTATGTACCGAGAGAGGTAATGATGAGCTTCCAGAAGTGGGCGGCCAATGCCGCTTCCTCCAACTTTAAAGGGGAAGATGTCCCCTCCCCCAACAATAAATATCTTCTAGTTGTCTTATACTCATCAGACGTCACCAATAGCTAGATTTTACAGAACCTCGGAATGAAAACCATCCGTTGCGAGGACGTCGTCCTAGCCATGGCAGATCAGGCTGAAAGGTTTGTGCCATGTCCGTCACATTTGCAAAAGCCCCAGACCTTGCGAAGACCCAAGCCGAACAAATCACCCAGTGGACCCAAAAGCTGATCGATGCCGTAACGAAGATTCGACAAGATGCACAGGCTGCCGCAAATGTGTGCCAAGAACGCCTCCAGGTCACAATTCGCGAGCTTAGCACGCGTGGGAATGCAACAAAGAAGAAGATCTTAGAAAACAATAATCTGGATACATCGCGAACTGTAAAGGCAAACTTCAGGCTAGTGTTTGGGCCGCCAAAACACTCGGAATACTGCAGCAAAACCACGAAATATGCAATGGAATCCAATGCTGTGAGGATTAAAACAGTTCGTGGGCTATGCGAAAGTTATCCCGACGCTGTTATCACCCTATCAACGAGCTATCCTACCAAAGTGTGGACGGAATCAAGCGCGGAATTATTTGACGGTCTCATAAAGGTGTTGAAGAAGGATGCGGAGAAAGAAGTAGGGGTGAATTGGCCAAGCGAGATTTTGGATATCATGGATGCGCTTGCAGAAGAAAGGCCGATGTGTGACGAGTTCAAGGTACTTCGTGGTATGTTCACCCTCTTCCCACAATTTCTTCTTCACTGACAGATAGACAGACAAAATCTCTCAGCGTCAAGAGATTAATCCCCCTTCCACCTCCTTGCCCCGTCATAGACAGTTGAGACCGATGGCAAGTGTGTTGGCTATTCTGCAGAGCGAATTCTCACCTACGATGAGTGAGCCAACGTCGTCCCCAGTACGTGGGAATAAGAGCTTACTAGCCGGTATAGATCAGCTGCCGAGCCTACAGCAAATAGGATTAACAGCACCAGTCTTCTATCAGCGTATGACAACCACCATTTTTCCCATTTTAGAAGGCATGGCTAATCAATGGATAGGGCAATGCAGCCAGGCACGATGTGGTGTTCATGTTTTGGCTTCTTTCCCATTTCCATTGTCGACTGTTCTGGAGCGCCGTTCTGAATGGTTCAGATAATTGCAATATATCGACGGCGGGGGCATTTGTGTACATAAATCCGACCTCTATTGGTAGATCGTTAGTTGCGGTACATGAATATTTTGAAAGGCATTTTCTTACCTCTATTCTCCCGGAATGGTGATTGTGGATCTTCAGGCTTGCGTCTTTTTGAAGGATAAACCGTACTATGGTAAGTGCCAAGTTGGTCCCGTCCAGTGCTGGAGCTAGTTGGCGGTCCAAAATTGGAATTTTTATGTGGGCCGTCGCGCACTTGTTCCCGAAGGATAACACTCAGGATGTTTCTCTGACTATATGGTGCGGAAATGAGGATGGATACCGTGTCATCACTGCGTTCGGGATGCAACCTGCTCCGTTACCCTAGAGCTTGAAGTAGACGCTGGCAACCCTCACGTATGTGGTATAACCGGCGGGTACTGTGAACGGTTTGTAGACTGTTGTTGGATGGTCGTGGACTTCATGCGTTGCGTAGTGTTCCGTGTCTTTATTGTATATCGACAAATAACGGCCTTTAAAATATATAGTCCTATCACTGTCGGTCGGCGGAAAATAATGGGCCGGGATATCCTTTTCCTCTTTCCCGAAGAGAGCGTCGTCACCTGTCTAGACATGTATGTGAATTAGATACATAGCGATGAAATTAAGAGCCGTGACAAAACTGTGTAGCTGGACTTACCGCCATAGCCAAGATACTCTAGATGGACCTTGCTTCTCTGTACCAACTGTTAAAGACTACTGCGTATCAGCGATCATGGGGCCAAATGGTAGAAGGGAAGATTCGATCTCTATTCACCTGATATTCGGAGAGGCGCAGATGAAACTGGATGAAATCAGACACAATACAAGCCTTTCTTCAGTCGGGGTCGAAACAGAGTAAGATGGATAAATTTTGATAGTGTTTGATGTTACGTACAAAGAGAATCGTGAAGAATCGTGAGGGGTTCTGAGATTTAAGTAGGGGGTGTGACTTGGTGGGGGTTGGCATTTTGATGGGCCCTGGATATTTGCTCAACCGGATCCAGAAGCATGTAAAAGATAGTTACTGTTTCGATAAGATTGTCCGATATCCAACGTGTTACTCTGTCAGGCATACATGCAGATAATTCTAGAAGGGACATCTTATACTGGAAAAGCCAGCGTCATATGATCTTGCCTGGTGACCAGGAATAGTAATTTTATGTTCATTGAGCCGAAGTTGCACATGGTGGCTTGCATATTTGCTGCATGAATGCTACTAAAATTCATACAAGCCCTTCTACCGAATAATTTCCAGAAGTTAGAAATGCTATTATCGGGAGGACGTTCCAATAATCATGGATTATCAAACCTATGCACAGTCTCAGTCTCTGACATGGGGGGAATCTTCGACTTTTCCTTTAAGAGTTAAATTTACACGAGCCTACACTTAGAAGGAAAAAGAAATAAAAATATTTTTGCCATTCGATGGAACAATGGCAATGGCCCTCAAGCATATCCCAATGAGGCACCAATTCATGAAGGGAACTGTAGGACACCAGCAGTTGGTCTTTCAGTTGTAATTTTCGCTGACCATCAACCTGGAATTTTTGCACTCACATGAAAAATATCCCAGTTCACCAAGACCCAATCAAGCTACTTTGTGCTGCGAAAAATTTGGCTGAGGGTTTTGGGAGCCTAAGCATCGATCACCCAAAATCGAGGAGAGAATTTGCAGAAGGCACAGGGTTGGTCCACTTTTATTTACGTTTCAGGGTATTTGCCTGCAAGCCAGCGATTGGTTTCGCAATAAATACAACATTAAAACGCTTGTTACTCCGATATTCTGATCAAATGCTCCATTATGCAAACATTAGCCATAGGCCGAACACAAAAGGCCCCTTCGCAAGCTGCAAGGCGGCAGAACAGACGAGATCACAGAGCAGAGAGACAGTGTTACAGTACATAACCAAAGAAACTTGTGGAACTCGAGTGAAGGATGCTGGCGCTGTGTGAGCTGTTTTTGGTAGGTCCCCAACACAAGGAAAAAATATAAACCGCAGCCCGAAAGCCCCCATATAAAACTTCATAGGCCTATTGTTCATTGTAAATTTCACGGAGAACTATGATGAAACTTTGGGATTCACCCTCTTGGCGCAGGGCCTCCTTGGATATTTCCAACGAGCATCCCGCTTTTAGGCCCCGCGATCGAAAGCGTGGCCTGGTCAGCCTGCACACCTCAAAAGCATAGGGTCATTTTATTCTTATATGCGGTCATCCTGGTCATTCAAAAGGTATGAGGATTTTTACAGTACTGTACAGTAGGCTCTAGGAAATTCTCATTTTTCCATTTTGAGATCGACTCAGAAAGGGGCCAATTTTGTATTAACCTCTATTTACCATGTTATGCTACTAAAAGGAAAAAGGAGCCGAGTCTCCGAATTAGGCTTTGTAATGCTGCTCTTTTCTTGCTACCTCTGGCATAGAAGCATCTGCAAGGTTGTCTAACAATAGGCAACTACGGAAAGATGAAATACCTCATCCGACCAGATAGACAGCATTTGGTTTCAACTTCTCACCCCATATTAAACCATGGCTCATGTGATAATGCCCTGCCGCTGCAAAGCTCGAACAAGGAATCCAAGAAGGACCATTCGAAAAGTGTGACCTTGTTGGCTGCTGTTGCCTTCTTCAAACCAGACGCCTTTTGCGAGTACAGGATTCTGGAGATGCTCAGCCATACCATAGAAGCATTTTTTTATCTCTGTATCTGGGTTTATGAAGGAATTTGGGCATTCTGTGCTGTGGAGGTCCAGCCAATAAGCAGTTGTAAATTGAGTGGCAGAAAAAGCACCTATATAATTGTGCCTTGGCGGCCAGACGAGGAGATACCCTTGCCATAGACAAGCGGCGTATCGCTAGGTCTGTGCACCGTCATTCCTCTCAACTAGCCAATCACACAAGAGTGGGCAGTCGACACTCCAGGCAGCAGTGCTAATTTTAGTTCGCGCTCCCATCCGCCCTGACGTGTTAAAAATATATTATCACGTGATCATCTTAGTGGCACCAATTCTGGACTCAGGCCGCTACCACCAACCTTTTCGCTGATTGGCTTCCAGCAACCAACGGCTGGCCCTCAGCAGCAATCATTTCCAGATGAGCGCCTGAAATGCATTCTGGGATCCTGCGCAAAAGTTAATTATAAGAACCTCTGCCCCTTCTGACCTCGATACATACTGGCATGATAAAGGAGCTAAAATTTTATGATTATGACCATATGCCTAGTTCAGTGACCCCCAACCTGTCTCGCAAGCGTCAGTATTCTCAGCCCCATCCATCCGACGGGTCGCGATTTCGGAAAAGGCAGAAGCTCGACGCGTCGGCATCAGCATATTGGGATAACCTGTCAAAGATTTGGTTAACCAAAGATGCATTAGAGGAGTTGGATCGAAGAAACAGCCGCCCGAAACCACCCCAGAACCATCATAGACCTATCACTCGACGATTTCACACTGAGTTGAAGAAGCGCTGTAATCCTTCTCAGTTTGCTCCGGCCTTTCTCCGTGATTGTGCACCCGCTTGTTCAAAACAGATAAGGAGAGTTTCCAGATTGGGAGGACCTGACCTAACTGACCTTAGAAATGTACGTAACTACAAATCCATGCAAATGCATCATTGCTGATAATATTGCCCAGTATCCTAAACCGGAAAACTTCCTCGAAAAAGCAATGAGCTCAAGGTCCCGGAGTAGAAAGCGACGCGCAGGTTCTCCTCCATCAACAAGCGCAGATACGAAGGGTACCACCAAGTCCACGAGCACCACACCCTATAATCGTAACTTCCAACAGAATCTAATTGATCATGGCGTTTACCCTGACGGATATGAATATCCCGATGGTCGAATACCAGCAATGCCAAAGAACTGGGAGGAGATCAATGAAACATTAGCTCGACCCCGACCCTCCCTTTCCCCATCGAAGTTCTCCGATGAACATTTCCGAAAATTCAAACGAGCAGATACCCACGCATCTAAAGAACAACCGGTCACAACGTCAGTGATTCCTATCATCGAAGGTGATGTTGATGATCCCAAATGTGCCGGAGGGGGATACCCGCTTGGAAATCTCGCCCCCTTAACTGATGGCGCACTGGCTCAGGCCAAGCCAGACCACCTCTACGGTGCGCGTCCTGAACAGCTCGATCGCCAGATACGCAATGAACTGAGCGATTATATCATCCCATCAACACAGGATGACCTTCCGATGGTACCGAATTTCTTTTTGGAAGCAAAAGGGCCCGATGGATCCTTGGCTGTGGCTACACGGCAAG